GTTAGTAAAACATCCAAATTGTTACTTAAATATTTCTGAAGATTGATTGTGTGAAATTGTGCAAGTCTAGTAGTTGTATTCGATAGGTTAATTCCCTGTGGGATTCGACTTCGGACTTATTAGCCGGAATATATTTGCAACGACCACTAAGTCCTTTTTATAAGGCATAGTTGGGCGTGATCAATACATATATATAGGTCTAATAATAAATTTAAATAGCTACTTTTATAGTTGGTTTGATTTAATTTTTTCGGTTATTTTTTTTATTAAAACCAAAACCACAATAAATTTGATCGGTTTTTAAAATTCTAAACCAAAACCAAACCAACCCTAAAAGGTATCAATTTTTTTTGGTCAGTTTGGTTCGGTTTTTCGGATTTTTATGAACACCCTTAATCGTATATTAGCAATTTGGTTAAAGTGGAAGATTAGTAGCTTGTTTGGCCAAACTTATAAACTAAATTTATTTTGAGAAATGTTGTTCTTTTAAAGTACTTTTTATAAATAAGAAACAATTTGTGTTTGATAACTAATTTGAAAAGTACATTTGATCAGCAATTAGGAGCTTTTAAAAAGTATTTCTAAGTGCATTTTTAGAAGTGTTTTTTAAGAAAGTACTTTTTCGGGAGAAATTGTTTTTCTGCTTCTCCAAAACTGTTTCTACTTCTACTCAAAAGTATACTTTTTTCTTCTTCTAAAAATTTGGCCAAATAAAGAAGCTTGACCAAACAAGTTATACTCCTTTAGTCCTTTTGCCACTTAAGTGAGACACGTAGCAAAAAGAATAAGAAATGCCCTTAAACTTTGAGGGTGTTTGGATGAGCTTAAAAGCTGGTCAAACTAGCTTTTAAGCACTTTTTTTATTTTTTGGAGTGTTTGGCAAAAAAAAACTGCTTAAAAAAAGCTAAAAAATGCTTTAAAAAGCCAAAAGCAACAAATTACCTGACCCCAACTTCTCCGATTTTGGCTTAAAAGCCATTTTAGTTTGATCAATAAAATTACTTTCTTGTCTATTATAAGTTTTCATAATACCAAAATTACCCTCAGTCAAAGAAACCCTAAAACATCGTACTTCTCTTATTTCCTTCACTTCTGAAGACAGCCGATCCTCTTCTTTCCTTTTTCTCTTTGCTTCATCTTCATTTTTCTGCACTTCCCTCAAGCTTTAAGATTGCATACTGGATCGGCTTCTACTGGACTTCCAAAAACATGAGCTAATGCCATAATGAGTTTTCTTCTGCTTCCAATTGATGTAACTGCATCTTTAATCCATCAAGAGTAAATGGACAAAAAGGGAAAGAGGAATTCAACAAAATAATTTGATATTTTTAATAGGTGAGACTTTTATGTATGTTAACTTGATTAAAAGTGGGAAAAAATGAGCATTCAAGAATTATATTTATAAAAATTATCTAAAGTAATCAATTAAATTAAAATTAAATTAAATTATAAATTATTTTTATTTGTATTAATTCAGAATTAAATATATTGTAGTAATCNGTCCCCTAGATAACCGATCCAAGGTACTTGAAACTACCCCTCTTGGGAATGACTTGAGAGTCAAGCCTCACNTTAAATTATAAATTATTTTTATTTGTATTAATTCAGAATTAAATATATTGTAGTAATCAACTCCTTTATAATATTATAACTTTAAGGATATTTTTATCTTTTTAACAGAGAAAGGGCTTACCAGCACTTGTTTACCAAACACTTCAATAACCTTTTTAAAACTTCAGCACTTTTATCCAAACAGGTAACTGCTTATTTATAAAATAAGCTCCAACACTTAAAAGCTGCTTTTAAGCACTTGTACTTAAAAATTACTTTTTTAAGCCAATTCAAACGGGCTCTTTTCCATGCCCCTTTTGTCTTAATTTTGATTTTTAAACAATCACCACCATAAACATTTTGCAAATGGATCTGCAAGTTGGACTTACTACCTTTCTCATTTCCCTTGGATCCTAAGGTTTAAGTAGTTAGAATAATAGGTATCATCAACTCCACCAAAAAAAAAAAAAAAATTCCCATACTTGCAATAGCCATAAAAAGGTCTGCATGACAAGTCCCATATAGCAATTGGTCTCAACCTAAAGGTTACAACAATAACAATAACAACGACCCAGTATAATCCCACAAGTGGGGTCTGGGGAGGGTAATATGTACGCAGACCTTACCCCTACCCGAAGGGTAGAGAGACTGTTTCCAGGAGACCCTCGGCTCAAAAAAGCAACAAGAGCCGATATATTAGTACCATAAAAATGCATAATAAAATAACAGCAATATAAGAGATATGAAATACAGAATACGAAATACGAAATAGATGGC